TGCCATCGTTACTCTCGGCCCGGTGAACGAAGTCTCGAGGACATAGAGTTCGTGGGCTTCAAGCCGCAGAGACTATGTACACCAGCTTTCATTTCACCCTGCTGGTATATCCTCAACGAGTATAAAGACATGAGTCGGAGTAAAGGCGCGGGAGGAAAAGATATACACGTGATGGAGATGACGCACGGGGTTATGGTAAAGAGGATTTTGGCATGAGAGGGGAATGGTATTGTGCCTCTTCAAACTAGAAAGCAGCAAGAGACATTGGGTTTGAAAGCCTCGGGCTGCAATGATGATACTCCAACGCGTGTGTACGCCTTCTCGATCGTACAGGGCACACTCTAGGCCTGATCAGCTCCAGAACCGATATGATTCGATATCACCAGGTTAAGGTTCACCAAGGAGGCGGGCGGTGACATCTCCCATATACTCGGGCTCCAGCTCGTAATCTTGACCCTCGAAAGTGGCGATTCCGAAATGTTGGAAAGCTTCGACGACCTTGTCGACATCGAATCCCATGACAACGAATCTGTCGATGAGATTCTTATTGTAGCCTTGGTATCTATCCAAGAGTATCTGCGTTAGTATAGTACTCATTACACCCAGCATCGAACGTGAAAGATGTTGTTAACTTACCGGCGGAAATCTACCTCGGGATCAGGCCTGGGCCTGACGGGGGCACCTCCGCGTACATCATACTTGGCAGTGGGCGGAGCACCAGCATGCTTGACAGCCCAGTCATGGGCCTTCTTCTGAAAGCTTGGAAAGTCATTTAGCATCATCTGAGCCACCTCGGCATCCTGGGGATCCTTGGGCTCTGGGCTCTGGAAGAGAGACTGGAGAGACAGAAGGGCGCTCTTGATGGTGAGGACAGGCGACCAGGCATTACCAAGCGTGTCCAGGCAGATAGCACCCTATGAATTCATCAGTACGAGAACTAACAGAAGGATATGAGGCGATCGTCGTACAGTCTGGCTGCTGATGTTGGGATGCCACACTTTGGTGTCGAACTTCATGGTGGGAGCCTTGAAAGGATACTCGTTCGGGATTACGATGTCGACGATAAACCAGCCTCCGGCGTAGGGGGTGTCGGCAGGACCAGCGATACGGCCCTTGAGGTGTGTCAGATCGTCGCCGTTGGCAGGGCCGGCCATGAGGATGTTGAGCTCGGAAAGGGTCTTGTTCGGGAACTTGGTGGTCAGATCGCGGGCTTCTGTCTCAATATCACTAAGCTCCTTGGCGACACGGCGTAATCTACTCGAAGACATCATGAGGCCGGCTCTAGTAGAGCTCTGGAGACGGAATAGCGATGTGCCTGTATGCTGTATCGATACAGCTATCGGTCGAGGATGGGAAGTGGGATCAGAAGTTTTGAGATCGCTATCGATATCCGCGTGCGACAAATGGATAATCGATGGTACGGTTGTGAGTGTGTTGTCGTTCTTGGGAGTCTGGAAGAGCTGGAGAGAGGCGGCAGTAGAAGGAAACAGGATTGGTTGTTGATAAACCTTTGTGACACAGGGCACAGAAGGCTCGATGTTTCCCAGAAGGCTCCGGCGCAGGATGGATGAATGGGTGGGAGGAGAGGCAGAATCGAATTCGCGATGAGGTAGGCAATGGCAAGGCCCAGACGAGTGACACCTGAGATCCGACGGCAGCAGAGCACACACACCTTTAGCTCAGTGATACCTTATCCTCATATGACACCGTTTTCAGCTGGAGTGGACCAAGGCCAATCTAGCGTCAAGTCGATGACTGGAGAGTGAGTAGGGTATATTTGGGATCCAAAGAGAACCGAACCTGGGGCAGAGTGGCTGGCGGTAGTGAGTGGGCGGGAGAGTGGGAAAATGGCAGAAATGACAAACGAGAAGTGAGGAAGTGAGGCATCACATCACATCACAGCCTCACTTGCGGATTCGAAGAAGGCATTCAATGTTGGTGGAGAGTGGTCGTACCTGACTTCAGGTTCCGTGGGTGCATGTGAGCATTTGTGAATAAGGTAGGTAACAACCCCGCCAATCTGTGAGGTAGCGGGGGGCATTGCTACATCCAGTTAGGTAGGTAGGTATTGGGTTTCGTCATTGGGCTCAGCTCTCTACGTTACCTACACGCGCCCCTCATCCTACAGCGTGAACAAATTGGAACTGGCACCTGGGCACTCCCAAGGTTATATCCCCATGACAACATGCAACTCACCAAACAAAGAGTGTAGTCTTTGATTCATAGGGTGACTTGTCAAGTGAATTACCTTAGACAACCGGATAGCTCCTATGTTACACATACGGTTCATTAAGAGATAGGGGTATTCATTCAAGGGGATTTCTATTCTGTAGAGAGGAACCGTTTATGCTCACCGTGGCCTGGCAGAGTATCCTTATTCGACTCTGGCTTAGACACGCTAAACTATTTCTAGCAGGGAATAAGCTTTAGAGTGGCATGACCTAATTCTCCAGCACTATCGATAGCCCTATACAAACACGCTATCATTCATTAGAGAAGGGGTCACTGGCCTGTGTTGCGCCCACTAACATGCCCCAGTTCTGCTGTCAAGAGTCAAGAGTCACACCCCGCCATCAAATAATATTTGCTGCTTTATTCCATGAGCAAATCGCGAATCGCAAATCAAACCTCCCTACTCCCCTTCAACACAGCATTCTTCAGTCTGTAAGAACCACGTCATATAGACATTAGTATTGGAAACCATCGGATAGTTGATGCGGCATCTTCCATCATGGCCACAACAACGATGACGGCCACTGTGACCGCCAGTGGCCGAAAGAAAGATGCGAATCTGCCGCCTGAGAACGAACGCTTCTTGCGATGTTGCGCCGACATTGCCAACACCCTTATCGAAGACCACGAGTCGTCCAAGAACCCCAAGAACCCTAAGAAGGACATCAACCTCAACAGCCTGCGCACGAAGCTGTCGAGGAAGCACAAGCTGGCCAACATACCGCCTCTGACTGCCATCATCGCCGCTGTTCCCGAGCACTACAAGAAGTACATCATGCCCAAGCTGATCGCCAAACCAATCAGATCCTCTTCGGGCATCGCTGTCGTCGCCGTCATGTGCAAACCCCATCGATGTCCTCATATTGCCTACACCGGCAACATCTGTGTCTACTGTCCGGGTGGGCCTGACTCCGATTTCGAGTACAGCACTCAATCATATACCGGATACGAGCCCACCTCCATGCGCGCCATCCGTGCCCGTTACGACCCCTTCGAACAGGCCCGAGGCCGTGTCGACCAGCTCAAGTCCCTCGGCCATTCCGTCGACAAGGTCGAATACATTATTATGGGAGGCACTTTCATGTCTCTGCCCGTCCCCTATAGAGAGGAGTTCATCTCTCAACTCCACAATGCCCTCAGTGGCTATCAGACAACAAACGTGGACGAGGCGGTAGAAGCCGGCGAGATGAGCAATGCCAAGTGTGTCGGCATCACTATCGAGACGAGACCAGACTACTGCCTCCAGCCACATTTGACGGATATGCTTCGATATGGTTGCACTAGACTCGAGGTTGGAGTACAGTCTCTATACGAAGATGTTGCGCGCGACACGAATCGAGGACACACCGTTGCGGCTGTTGCGGAGACTTTCTGTCTTGCAAAGGACGCGGGCTTCAAAGTTGTATCACACATGATGCCCGATCTACCCAACGTGGGAATGGAGCGCGATCTGGATCAGTTTAGGGAATATTTTGAGAATCCAGCTTTCCGAACCGACGGTCTCAAAATCTATCCCACACTTGTCATTCGCGGTACGGGTCTCTACGAGCTTTGGCGGACAGGCCGATACCAGAATTACACACCAAATGCCCTCATAGATATTGTCGCTCGGATATTGGCACTTGTCCCACCATGGACGAGAATCTACCGCGTTCAGCGAGATATTCCTATGCCTCTGGTTACATCGGGCGTGGAAAACGGAAATTTGAGAGAGTTGGCTTTGGCTCGCATGAAGGATTTCGGAACGACATGCCGCGACGTAAGAACACGAGAAGTCGGTATCAACGAGGTCAAACACAAGATACGGCCAAATCAGATCGAATTAGTGCGTCGTGACTATACCGCCAATGGAGGCTGGGAAACATTCTTAGCCTATGAGGATCCGAAACAAGACATACTAGTTGGTCTTCTCCGATTGAGGAAGTGCACGGAGAAATATACATATCGCGAAGAGCTCACCGGACAACAGACTAGTCTGGTCAGAGAACTGCATGTCTATGGTACAGCTGTGCCTGTTCATGCTAGAGATCCGAAGAAATTCCAGCATCAGGGCTTCGGTACTCTCTTGATGGAGGAAGCAGAGCGTATTGCCCGCGATGAGCATGGAAGCGATAAAATCAGTGTCATCAGCGGTGTGGGCGTCAGGAGTTATTACCGAAAACTTGGATATTGGCTCGATGGGCCTTACATGAGCAAATGGTTAGATGGACGCCCGCAACCTACAGGCTAAGGTATCTCTTAAATGAGAGTAAGATATGCAATGGTAGGAATACCTAGCAGCCTACAAGCTGCATCAAGTTGTATATAGGAAAAGTGGCACGGGCAATGCGTATAAAAGCATTTGACGAAGCTAATGCATGGAAAGACCTGAATGATGATATGGTTCGTAGTATGTGATAATCGCACAGATGGGTAATTCAAATAATTACTCCAGAGTCCAGACTTAGTACGGCTCAAAACATGGTGAACAGTCTCTGTCTCTATTATCGCAACGGATAGTTAGAGGCGTCATGCCTATTTCTAGTTGCTAAGTGCCACGATGTCCAAGGCTTCAAGTTCATGGAGACTTGTATTTTCAGAAACACTGATGTACCTTATAGTAAAAGACAAAGCCTTAAGGGAATGCCGCAATTGCAACTACCGTGCTTCAGAGTCTGTGACTGTCAAACAATAAAATACAGACATCTTCTCTCGCATTGCAGGAAGTTAAGACAAAAGAATTTGAGCTGGAAAGTGAGAAAAAAGACCAATCACGCTTTGTAGAGAATTGAACTCGACCAGATTTGAACTGATGACCTTGTGGATTCAGACTGGATGGTGCAAGCGCACCTCATTGCTGGAATCACACGCGCTACCGCTGCGCCACAAGTCCTTTGATTGGTGGTTAGAAATTGGCGACCTATTGCTGCATATAACCGTGCCGTGTCCGAAGTTGGGCCGCTAGCGTGAATCCGGCGCCTTGGGGGTTTTGCCGAAAAGAGTGGCTGGGTGAGAGGGATTATTGCAACCATTTGCATTGTGTGTGGATTCCCATTTTTATGAAGTTGCTTTAAATATTGGGCTTTCTCAAGGAAGGTTTGAGAGGGGCATCTCGAACTTGGAGACGATTGGATCGCAGGGGCACTCACACTACCCTATAATTCAAGTGCTCATCGAGCAATGGAACGACGAGTTTCTCAGTCTTGGATGAAAGTACTTCGAAAATAACGGCATGAATGTATACGGGAGTCAATTATTTGCTGCGAACAAATGTGATTAAACTTACGAGCCTTGAGGTAGCGTGCCTTGCAAAACCTCGCGTTCAAAAATGATGAGTAAATGTGCATTTGGAATTGAATCCATTGGAATGGCTTTCGCTCTTTTTCACCATGCGCGACCGAACATCACCTGTGCAACAAAGGTGTAGGTAGAGCTGCATTCGTATCTCGTACTACACATATTGGTGGAAGAACCAATTGAACAATTTGCATAAATCAGCCCTCTTTCTCCCCGATAACCTCAACAGTGGCTTCAACCTTTTCAGTCATCAGCTCCTTAACACCCTTGAGTAACGCAACCGCAACAATGGCCAAAAAGACAAAAGGTATGATACTGGAGTATGCCAATCTGTATGCATAAGCATACTGCCAATGACTTGCACTCAACACCTCTTCCCAAATCGTCTCATTTGCGCCCTCGACACTATCCGAGCCAATCTCACCCGTAGACAGAGCTTCCAAAAGTGTAGGGACGCTAGACTCAGGTAATCCAGCATCGATCGCAGCTTTCGAAACAGCTGGGGCATAGTGGCCAGAGAGACAGCCGTTGATAATCGCATCGAGGACTGCAGATCCAAACGCTCCACCGATAGCTCGTGCAGAAAACGCAAGGCCAGTGGCCGTGGAGAGAAAGGCGTGGGGAGCGGTGAACTGGACACATGCTACGAGGAGGGTTAAGGGACCGGATTGGCCGATGCCTGTTAGGACTGCGATGCCGATTTGGGCGCTGTTCCAGGTGGGTTTTATTGTTGCGTATGTTATCGTTCTGCGGGCCGTATCAATACTTTCCCTGTGTGTATATCGGGGGCCGTGACTACAAGGAGCGATTGGGAGGAGACTCACACAACGAGGAAGATTGTAAAAGTAACTAAGACTGGACTCTGTAAATCCTTATACCGGGTTGCATACCATGTGATAGGAATTGAGGCAAATAGCACAGGCAACTGGTAGCTCAGCTGTCTGACCGAGATCCGCCATGCATTTGTCTCAAAGCCAAGATTCAAGATGATTTGAGGTACGACGGAGTTCACTGCGGAATAAAATATCCACCCTTCGACTGCGAATGCGAAGACTGCGTAGGCGAAGTTTGCATTGCGCCGGAAGAATATGTGTGCTACTAGGCCGTCGGCGCGGCCTTTGTATTCTTGGAGGGTGTTAGTTCCGCATTTTGAGCTAAATCAGAGCTCCTCAAGGAAGATATGAAATAAAGCAGAGGGGAGGATATGGCATACCATAACCAGCAAAACCAACAAGCAACGCCAGTCCCAAGCTCAACGGTACAGCAACATGAGGGTCCGACCACGCGTATGCGCCTCCAGCCCAGTCAAGAGCAAGGAGCATAAGCGTAGCGCTACTCACGAATAACGCACTACCAATCGGATCACAAGCCCAAACCACTTCCCTCCAGCTCAGTTTTGAACGGGTTTGTTTCGGGGGCCAGTAGAATAGGAGGAGTCCGAGAGATGTAATGCCGTGTAACGCAGCCTGAATCCAGAATATGTATCGCCAGCCGTGAGCATTGATGTTCGTTACTGCGCCTGCTACTAGGGCACCGCTCCTGAGTGACAGTCTTAGTCTTGTATCTCCTAATTTACTCCCGTTTCTCTTTCCTTCATCTAAGACCAGATGGAATATGGGATGTTGAATGACTTACAGCCCACCCAAAGACCCACCAACAAAAGCAAACCCATTCGCCAGCGCTCTGAACTTCAAGGGCAAAATCTCAGACGGAATAGCCTGGACAATGCTGATAGTCGCGAGCGTAGTTCCTATCAAGACCCCGCCTCCTATAAGGACAGACATTGACTTTGCTGTGGCAGAGACCACTGCCCCGATGAATGCTATTACAGGTGGGATGGCAGCCAGATACTTACGGTCTAGAACGTCGGATAGCCGTCCTACGATGGGCGAAAGCACGGATTGCAGGAGGAGGGGCCCCTGGGGTTATTAGTTTTGGGGTTTAAGAAGAGTTGGCACATGGTGAGTGGGAAGATAGAAGGCGAAGGGGAAAGTACTTGAATAATCCATCCTGCGAGCGAGGCATCGCCCAAATCTCGGACGATGAACGCTATTACGGACCCAGCGGCTACGACAACAAAGACTTGTGCAAGGACGCTATGTAATTGATCTCCGTCAGAGTTTGCCCATGATATGGTATTGGGAGAAGCTTAGACGAACGCGAAGCATGTTATGAACACCACGAGCTATCACTCATCAGCAGTTGTAGAGGAGTCATGTATAAGGGAGTTTGTGTGCATCGAAGTAGGTTTATGTTATAACAATGACAGGTAAGCTTACCCATGATCTCCAGCTCAACTTGATATGGTATGCATTTTCCACTGCTTCTTGCTCCAAGGGGACAATTTCCGAGTCTCTCCGTTCCGTCTTCTCTGGACCGCTTTCTCGATGCTCGACGTGGTCTATGTCTGGGGATGAATTGGGTGCAGATTGCACCGAGTCTCGTTTCTCTGTGGCTTCAGCCATGTCTTTTATGAATACTACGACAAGCAGAGTTCAAATCTGGGGCTCGGAATTCAGGAACAAATATTCAAGTGTCTGCACAGTGAGTTGTGAACATGGAGTTCAATCGAGTAATCCTACCCTTTTCAGGGCCTCTGAAACCTGTCATAGACCACCCTGTAAGCCATTGGTCGTCAGCATATTCCCAGCGACTGACCTTGGAAAATGGTTTGCGAAGCAAGAGTGTCTTACCCCAAGATGCTGTGCGGGGATGCAGCCACGGCAGTTGCAAATTGGAAGGAGATATGTTGAAAAGTGCCATGAGGGGGTTACATCAAGATTGTAACAACCTTGTAAAAGTAGGGCATATACGGACTTGAGTGACTTAGCTTATTAGGTCACAACATCTGTAGAGCAGTAGTCAAGGTAGTGTATAGAATCTAGCAGTTAACGTCCTCACGATCCCTGCAATGTTGACTTCAATCAAGCTCCAAAGGAGGTATGTAATCATAAATCATATCCCTCCCAGCCTCGCATATGGTAAGAAGTATGAAAAAGGACGGAATCGATCATGCTTTGCGGTATTTGACAGATGAGTTATGAAAGACCGCCAGATGCCAGGGAAACCTCTATCTTAAAATGTTATTTATACACCAACCAACGACCATTACACCCGATCAGAGCACAAACGTCAGACATTAACACCATTTACAAGAGATCCCGCTTGACGAAAGCCTCGCGCATAGCACGTCCCAAGCCAGCGGGAGAGCGCTCAACAACAACACCAGCAGCCTCCAGGGCCTTGATCTTGGAGTCGGCACCACCCTTACCACCGGCGACGATGGCACCAGCGTGACCCATGCGGCGTCCTGGGGGGGCGCTGATACCAGCAATGAAGCTGACGACGGGCTTGCCGCCGTTGACGGTGTTGTTGGCCTTGAGGAAGTCGGCAGCATCCTCCTCGGCGGATCCACCGATCTCACCAATCATGATAATTCCGTCAGTCTCCTCGTCCTTGAGGAAGACGTTAAGGCAGTCGATGAAGTTGGTGCCGCTGAATGGGTCACCACCGATACCGACGACAAGAGACTGACCGAGGCCGGCTTGGGTGGTCTGGTTGACGGCCTCGTAGGTGAGAGTACCGGACCGAGAGACGATACCGATGCGACCGCGCTTGTGGATGAAACCAGGCATGATACCGATCTTGCACTGGCCGGGAGCGATGATACCGGGGCAGTTGGGGCCAACAAGGCGGGTCTTGGACTGTGTCTTGAGGATATCGGTGATGCGGACCATGTCTGGTTATCTACGTCAGCCTTCTCACATATTTTCATGGGATGTGGTGACAAGTCTTACCGTGCTGAGGAATACCCTCAGTAATGCATACTACAAGAGGGATCTCGGCAGCGATGGCCTCCTCGATACCGGCAGCAGCCAGCGGTGGGCTGGTTGAAACATGTTTAGTAGATGTTCATGTATCTCCCATCTTGGGCGCAAGACTCACGGGACGAAGATGGCGGTGGCATTCGCACCAGTCTCCTTGACAGCATCCTCAACCTTTGCGAATACAGGGAGGTCAAGATGCGTCTGGCCAGCTTTCTTGGGATTTGTGCCTCCAACAACCTTGGTGCCTATAGGAAAATTTTGTTAGATGCGGTCTGCACCGACATTTGCTGAGCGCAGATAATAGGGATATATCGAGGGCGTGGTATTTACCATAGGCGATGGCCTGCTCAGCGTGGAAACTGAAATGCGTAATATATCAGTATCTCATCTCCATATCGCAGAACACTGAAAATCCAACACAGTAGGTAATGTTTCAAATCCCTTGGAGGGCTGAGTTGCTGGTCGAGTAGGGGAGCAATGGAGAAGAGCATAACTCACGTTCCCTGCTTTCCAGTGAAACCCTGGAAGATGACCTTGGTGTCGCCGTTGATGCGCAAGTTCTCGATGGTCTGGGCGTAGGCGGAGGACGAGTAGGTTCGTTTCGAGAGCTGGCGCAGGGCCGCTGGCCGCATGTGTCGGAAAGCCTGCATTGTGGTGACTGCGCAAAGGGGAAGGGTTTGCGTAGGTCGAGGCAGGGCGTTGTGTGTGCAGCAGTAGACAAGGCTTGTCGACTACAGCAGATAGGCGGGAGGGGAGATGGAGGGAGGCG